GGGTGGGCGGGGGGGACCAGGTAGCAGAACCCCCGGCCCTGAAAACGGGCCCCTCCAGGTCGTCGGCCCCCCGGACAGGTGACCTGAGCGTCTCCACACCGGCTCCGGAGACGCGAGCGTGAGGCGCTGTGACCTCGGGCAGGTCAGGCCTGTGGCACCTCAGCTCCCACCTCGTGTACCCTGGAATATACGACGCCCACCACCGCCGGCCTGGCACACAGCACGCACTCAATGAATGTTTGTTAATTAACAATTTATTAGACTTAAAAATATTAAAAAGGTTATAGGCAGTTTGTGTCGTCCCCATGGTAACCCACATAAAAGCATGTCTCAGGAGCCTTTTGTCTTCCTGATCAGGGCTTCCATGGTGTCCCACTGCTCCTGGGTGACCTGGCGCAAAAAAGAAAGGTCAGTTTAATGTGGTTCCTGCATGTTTTTAAAGCTTAGTATCCTAGCTGCTAATAGTATATTCACAAAACGGCATTACCTTCTTCAGGCTGTTGAATTCCCCTGAAATAAATACTTCCTCTCCACCATCAAATCTAATGACCTGGAAATAAAACATAAAAACTCTGAAACTAACTCCTTTTTAAAGTTTCTGAATCATTAGCCACTTTCTCACCCTTAGTACTTTCAATCAAATCCCAAATTTTAAAGACAGAACTGATGAAACCTAAATTGATTTCTTTAGAATCTTCTTTCCACCATCTCCACAATTTCAAGTTCTATTCGGTCTTAAAGATCTTAAAGACATGTCTACCAGAGTAGTTTTCACTTAATGAAATTAACTTAGTGAATCGATTCCATAGGCTAAACAATGTATATTAATATTGTGATATTATTTAAAGCTAAATAAACACATTTTTAAAATATATCTTTATTGATTTCAGAGAGAGGAAAGGAGAGGGAGAGAAACATCAATGATGAAAGTCATTGACCGGCTGCCTCCTGCACGCCCCTGACTGGCAATCGAGCCCACAACCCGGGCATGTGCCCTGACCAGGAATCAAACCCCAGCTGCCTGGATCCTAGGTTGACGCTCAACTTCTGAGCCATGCCCAGCTGGGCTAAATAAATATTTTAAATCATATTTACATTCAACATCGTCAGGGTTGGTTCCACAATGTGCCTTCCCCCCCCACCCCCCAAAGTGAAGAGAAAACAGTGCTTACAGCCCCATTAATCCAAGAAGCATAATCACTGCACAGGAAAGCAGCAAGATTGGCCAGCTCCTCCACAGTCCCCAGCCGACCACAGGGGATTCTGTTGATCATATCTTTCTCAAACTCTCCAGTTGGGTCCAAACGGCTAAAGGCACCCTTAGAAATTAATAAAATAGTTAGACTGCACTTTTAAAATACAACCTGTTTCCCATTTAAGAAACAAATTTGCAAAAATGTAATGTTCCTATGGCAGCGGGTTCATACTTTGGGCTTTGTAAGCAACAGAGAATTTTGCCCAAGTCTTCCACATTAACTTTAGTTCAAAACAGGTCATTGTATCTCATATTGACCTAAAAAAGTCACCAGGAAGTGTAACCATTTTAACCTTCATTTCTTCACCTGTAAAATCAGGATGCCTGTCTCAGCTTTCTCACACCATTGCCGCAGCATCAGATGAGAAAAGTTTATATGACAGTTCTCTGATGTTCATGAGCCTAGTGAGTGGGGCCTGAGGGCCACTGTCGTGTGACTTAGCAAACACAGAAAATTTTTCCAGTAGTACATATTTTAGAGTAAAGTCCTTTCTCCTTCCTTCTCCAATAACAGGAAAGAAGAAACCAAGGATGGAGGGATATTCATTCAAGTAGATCCAGAGAGAGGAAAGCCATAACTAAATATGCCAAGAACTTCTGCCTCCTGTGAAGGTGATGAGCAGACCAGGGTGGGGTACGGACGGGCCCTGAGGGACAAAAGGCCTGGACTTTGCTGCACTAGAGCCTGGAGGTGACAGCTGTCCTGTGACACGGATGATCCCGTGAGCTGTCCTTGGTCAGACAAAATGCCAAAATTGATGGTATAAAAGATCCCAGCAGGTGAAGACACTGAAACCGCCATGACGGAGCAGTTACCCAGGCTGGAATCCTGCCCCTCCTCCTTTCTCAGACTGGAGACACAAAACCCTCCCCACCACCAACACTCCAGACTCAGGCCTCCTTGGAAGTCCTTCACACACATAATAGATCCACCCAAGTTTCTTTCCTCATCCATTCTCAAGGTGGTAACGAGCACACTAGGCCTCACTTTGGTTTTTATGGGCCCTGGTTGGATCACGTTAAATCGCATTCCATATCTGCCCCACTCAGCCGCAAGAGACCTAAAAATTAAAACAACACGAAGGTTAGACTATGTGTTAAAAATAGTAACACCCATGCTTAGTACACGCCAGAGAGGACCACCCAGCAGCAGGTACTACGACTGTCCCCAAACTGAGGCACAGAGGTGAAATCATTAATCACTGTGGCTGGTGAGTCAAGCTCAGTGGCCTCACTCCAGAGTCTGTGCCCTTGGTCATGGCTGCACCGCCACTCACATTGTCACGTCCATAAGCACCTGTGCTATTCACATTTCAGAACCAAGTCCAGTATCAACACTTGGTGTAAAACCACAGGAGGAGCATGGCCCCCTCCTGCCCTGGAGGCAGTCAGTGCAGTGTAGTCACAACGGTACGTTGGATTAGAGCGTTTGTGACCTCACAAGTGCTCCAGTTAAGTAAGGGGTGTGTTATAAAGACGTGAAATAGTGACAGGAGTGATGCAGTGCACTCACTTGTTCAGGGCTTCCACCCCAGCTTTGGCGGAAGCACTGGGCACCACAAAGCCTGACCCGGTCTCAGCATAGATGGTGGTGATCGCAAGAAATGCTGCTCCTGGGATTTTAAAAGGACAGAGAATTAACAATACAGCTAAATCTGACATTGCTCTTAGCAACATCTTTTTGGACACATCTCCTTGGGCAAGGGCAACAAAAGCAAAAAGAAACAAATGGGACTACATCAAACTAAAAAGTTTCTGCACAGCAAAGGAAACCATCAATAAAACAAAAAGACAATCCACTGAATGGGAGAACATTCAGAAATGACATCCAATGAGGAGTTAATATCCAAAATATATGCAGAACTCATATAACTTAACACCAGAAAAACCAAACAAGCTAATTAAAAAATGGGCAGAGGACCTGAATAGACACTTCTCCAAAGAGGACACACAGATGACCAACAGACATGTGAAAAGATGCTCAGTGTCGCTAATCTTCAGAGAGATGCAAATTAAAACCACAATGAAATATCACCTCACACCTGTCAGAATGTCCACCATCAATCAACAAAACAAGTGCTGGCAAAGGTATGGAGAAAGGGGACCCTCGTGCACATTCCATTGGTGGGAATGCAGACGGGTGCATCCACTGTGGAAAACAGTATGGAGGTTCCTCAAAAAATGAAAAACAACCTTCATATGACTGATTCCACTTCTGGGAATATATCTGAAGAAAATGAAAACACTAATTTGGAAAGACATACGCACCCCTGTGTTCACTGGTGTTACTTATAATAGCCAAGATATGGAAGCAACCTAAGTGGACAGATGATTGGATAGGAAGATGCAGTACATATATACACAGTGGAATATTCTCAACTAAAAAGAAATTCTTACCATCTGCAACAACATGGATGGACCTAGAGCAGGGATTTTCAACCTTTCTCATCTCCTGGCACATAAACTAATTACTAAAATTATGAGACACATCAAAAAATATATTACATTTTTTGCTGATATGACAAAAAATAGGTATAATTTAGATTCATTCACACCAGACAGCTATTGTTGAGTTGACCATTGTCACTTTTTTATTTGACAATCTGAGGGAAAAGAGGTTGGTGCCCCTAACTAAATAGTCAGGCATTACATGTTTTAAAAATTCTTGTGGCTCACTGGTTGAAAATCGCTGACCTAGAGGGTATTATGCCAAGTGAAAAGTCAGACAGAGAAAGACAAATACCACAGGATTTCACTTACATGTGGAATCTAAAAACAAAACAAAACAGAAACACACTCATAGATGCAGAGAACAGATTGAGGTTGCCACAGGGGAGGGGACTTAGGGAGTTGGGGAAAAAAGGTGAAGAGATTAAGAAGTACAAATGGGTAGTTACAGAACAGTCATGGGAATGTAAAGTACAGCACAGGGGGTGTAGACAATAATATGTGACGACTAGGTGTGGTGCCAGGTGGGTACCAGGCCTTAAACCCCCCATGGTCACAGCATTGATGACCAGGAATCTTGGAAGAATAAAAACTGGCCTCCATCCTTTGAAAAGTCTTAGCAAATATATTTTTAATGAAGCCCATAGAATTTTAATCCAATGTGAGGAATAAAAATAGATACAAGTCTGTGTTAAAATGAAAGACAATCATAAGAGAAGGGACTCGTGGGGAGGGCTGGGGAGAGTAGGAGAGAGACACAGTGAGGAGAGTGAGATGGAGAGAGAAACCGAGAGCCAGGAAGAGCTGGCAGAGGAGTGAAATGTGGGGAAAGTCAGATGGAGAAGAGACACAGAGACCAAGGTCGTGGGGCAGAAGGGACAGGGGTCACCCATGTTTTTGTCTCCAGTCCCGGTCCCTATCCCTTCGGCAAAATCAAAACCAAAAACAAAACATCACTCCATCCCCAACCTAGATGACATCCCCTCTGTGTGGTGGGAATGAGTGGCCTGGGCTTGAATTTTAGTGACAGCCTGGAGTGAGCTCAGCACACACACAGGAAGCGGGTGCCTGTCCAGCACCTTCTGTCTGACCCGACACCCTTCCCCAAGCTGGTCTGAGAACTACCCACACTGCATGGAGGAAGGAAGCTGGCCAGCCCCAGGCGTCCTTGAGCCCCTATGGAACCCCTCCCCTGGGAGCTTCTCAGAATACTCCCCACCTCTCTGAGAAAATACCCCCTTTTGGGGACAGTGTCCCGTCCTGTGTCACCAGGGCCTGGTGCACGAGCATCAGTAAGTGAGTTAGATGAACACGTGCACCTGCACCTACTGTTCATATGCATGGACTTTTATCCATAAGTTTGTTCACAGTACTAAACACAAATGTCCTCCTAGTAACTCCCTGCAAACTGGCTGTCCCTCCAGTATCCTCAGCCTCCCTGTGGTAGCCTCTCACAAACACCAAGTAACCCCTCATCTGACCAGTCAGGCCTTATCTTCTAGCATCCTGATCTATCCCTCATGCCATCCAAATACAGGCCAGAAGAAACCAGCCATCCCTGAGTGGTGCCCTCATCTCCGCCACCCATCGCCCTGTGTTGCCATAACCTTCCCGACCAGTCACAGCCTTCACGAGACACCTTCTAGAGATCCTAAGGAAATAACCCCGTTTCCTTCAGAATGAACACCAAATTTCCCACTGGGAACATTCCCAGTTACACCCAGCCTGGCTCCCGCCCCATTTCCTACAGCTCTCCCTCCCGACTCCAACCACCTCTGAAAACCCGGCTCAACCGGGGAGTCATCCCAGGGAGAGCTGGTCACTCCTGCCCTGGGATCCCAATGCTCCTGGGACACCGTGATCACAGCTTGTCATAGCGCGTGGCGATGACTGAAGGATCTTTCTTCTCTGTGAGATCACGACTGTCCAAGTGGGGATGCCAACCACTGGCTCCTGTCAGGGACCCAGGGCTGGGCACAGAACAAGTGCAGCGGGGCCCAGGGAACAGGGAAGAACACAAGGCCCTACCTTTCTGTGCTTTAATCAGCTGCTTCCCAATCTCCAGGGTCACGAAGGCCGTGCCGTTCAGAACTATGTCGGTGATGGTCCTCCACCCGTTGGGGGACAGTCTCTCGGTGGGAGAAATGAAGTTGCCTGCTGCGTTGTTGATCACAATCTAGAAGGAGACTACGGCAAGTTAGAGAAACATTTGAGAACGGACATTCTCCCACAAGGGATTCGATTTCTGAAACTAAGTGTGCAGCAGTCTGTTCTAATCTGGCCCCTGCTTTAGGCATCGCAGGGGTCTTGGGTGCGACACCCGCCCTGGACCTCATCCCCACGACTCACGTCAGGGTGGCCCGCCATGCTGATCAGCTCTGACACCGCCTTGTGGACCATCTCAGGGTCCCGCACATCACACTGAATTGCGTGAACCTGCAGAGTACCAAAGACTCAGGAATCCCACATTTCTCAGACTTCCTCAAGCAAGACCACGGTAGATTATCTAAAGGTGCTTTCATTCCTGAATCTGGATTAAATAAGGTTTCAATGTACCTTATTTCCAGTTTGAGAAGAAATTTGCTCTGCAGTGGCTCTCAGAACATCAATCTTTCTAAAAACAAACACAAGGCATTTTGCATGAGTTCTGAAATGATGGCATATATTTTTAATTCCATAAATTAAAAAAAAGGGAATATATAGCTTAAAGAGATGCATTTTGAGACAATATAAAAGCTACAAATCAATCAACCTGAATGCATTTTCTAAAAGCTCAATTCAAATAATTTTTATGACACTAATGTATTGAATTATTTACATTTAAACCAGTTATTTTGTACCTACTCATAGATTTAAAAAATTTTTCCTTAATTACAATATTTATATCTGTTCCCAAGGCTGCTTTAGAAAGAAAACACATTCATGGTATAATGTAAGCTTATATTATACTATGCAGTAGATTTTATATAGTCTCTCAATGATAGTAGATTTTAGACAAAATTCATGTATACAAATGCATTATATGTATTCAGAACCTCACTCTTGAAAGAAACAAAAAATAAACCATGAGTATAAATTATGTAGTGTTACAAAAATATTTTAACCTCTTAAAAATATTACAACATAAAAACAAAAACTTGTTCTGGCCAATTTGCACTAAAGGAAACGTCTGCAGGAAATTCCTTTGGCCCCTTGTAAATGACATAGTGACTGTCAGATGACTACTTACCTGCTTACAATGTTTAACTATTCTAAATAGAAGGGGCACACTTTCGACCAGTCCCTGAAGCTCTAGAGTCTAGACTCACAAGGACCAGGATCTGCCTCAGTGAGAAGTTCCTTCCACAAGGCCTCACCCTTCACCGCCACCAGAGACGCTTGAAATATCTGCCCATCTTAGGGAAAACGGAAGGATTACATCCATCATCCTCGTACAGGGCTGTCCGCTGAAGTAATTATAATCACTTCCACCGAGAACAACGCAGCCTCAATGCAGGACTTTTTAGCTTCATTTCCATGTACAGAAAGAAATTCTATCACTGCATTTGGGAAATGTACCCATCACAGGTTCCATGATCAATCACTGTTTCTATCACCATAAGTTATAACAGGTTTTCCAAGGACATTTACTTAAATAATCTAAAGGATGTTTCGTGGAGGATTCAGATGCAAACCAAACAACCCTGGCAAAGTGTTTTCAATCTCGAGGCTCTGAACCCTTGTCTAACAGGCACTTCGTGAGCGACTCACCGGCTGGCGATCACACAGGAGGCACCCAGGCTGGACAGGAGACTGGTCATTCCTCGGCCAAGGCCAGTGCCGCCCCCGGTGATGAAAGCCACTTTCCCCTGAAAACTGTTAGGCGGCAGCATTGCTTTTTGAAGGGGTGAAAAGAATTTTGACTGAAAAGCATCACTGCTCTGACAGAGTATTTTTGTTCCATAGCTGAAAAACTAAAAGAGAAAAAAAATGAATTGAAATTTGCACACATGTATTTCCACAAGAGATGAATTTCAAAACAGTTACTTTTAATAGTATGCAAATTATTGGATTAACACAAACTCCCTGAAAGCATACTGGCATTGTATTTAATTGATTATTACTGTTTTCCATCGGAACGTTTAGTGACACAGAGGAAGGGTTAAAAGCGCGGGCTGTGGAGCGAGAGGACGTAGCACAGAATTTTCTCCCCAGTCCTATGACGTTAGCAAGTCCTTTAACTTCTTTGTGCCTCAGCTTCTTCTACAACCGGAGACGGTTCCAGATCCTTCCCCACAGGAAGCCGTGAGGACTTAATGAGTTGATACAAGCGAAATACCTACAACACCATTTAGCACAAACAAGCACTCTATAAATGGTAGCATTATTATTTGCAGGTGTTTTACTTTAACTTTAAAAAACTAAAATAAAGCATATTTGTGTTTTAACAAAAACATTGGGATAAAAATCACATACCACCTTTGAATCACTGAAGAAAATTCATAAAAGTTCTTTATAAGGTTTATTAAGTCAAATGCCTCTTCCCACGTAGCCTTCTGGATGATAAATTCAGATGAACTACTTCTGTTATACTTATCTTGTATTCTTTTAAAAAAAATATGTGTTTTTAAAAAATATATATCTTTACTGATTTCAGAGAGAGGGAGGGAGAGGGAGGGAGAGAGAGAAACATCAATAGTGAGAGAGTCACTGATCGGCTGCCTCCTGCACACCCCCTGCTGGGGATTGAGCCTGAAACCTGGGCAAGTGCCCCAACCTGGAATCGAACCTCCATCTCCAGGATCCTAGGTCGATGCTCAACCGCTGAGCCATGGAAACATCAATGAGAAACACCAATCAGCAGCCTCCTGCTCACTCCCTACTGGGGATGGAGCCTGCAACCCGGGCCTGTGCCCTGACCCGGAACGAAGCCTGGACGTCTTGGTTCCTGGGTCGATACACAACCACTGAGCAACACCAGCTGGGCCAAAGCATTTTCTTTTTGTATCCTTTTGCCAAAGCACGAAATCTACGCAGCCCGCAGTAATCTTTCTCCACCTAAGTGGCAGCTTTACTAAGGCTGCCCTGGCCCCCAGAGCTACCCCATTAGGATGAATAATAAGGACATTTCCATGAGGAGGCTGCTGTTTGTCATTACCAAGTAATGATGAAAAAATGTAGCCTAATTTTCCGCCGGCTCTACAATAAACGTTTATTTATTTAGTGTTGATTTGTATGGGGAATCTGATGTGGGGCTTATGGAAGATCAATTAGGCAAGATATCTGCATACAAACTTTCTTTTTCGATTTATTTTAAAACCTCTCAATTTCCTAACAAGCAGGTTAAAGGCCAGAAAGCTAAAAATAATCACATTTGATAATTCTTAACAAGCGTCTATAACGTAACAGATTATGAATCAGCGCCGTCTCGCCCACTGTATCTGATAGGATCTGGTCAATACTGGTCACGACTCCCATTCCCCACCGTGAGAAGAGCAGAAATCGGCACGCTGTTTCAATTCACACTGCCGTCGATACCTCTCAGCATATACGCTGTTGAATACTAAAACCAGGCCATCTGTTTGCCTAAAAGCAAGTTGATTTCAGCAGTAAGACCCAGAGGTGAACAGACCTCACGGGGTCATGTATTCAACCTCCTCTCTCTACAAAGGATCCCGAATAAACTGAAATAGCACTCTGACCACTTCATTTGTCATCAAAAGCAAATACAAGGTAGTCCTTTAGAGATTTTCAAAGCTTACTTTGTGGTTTTTCTGGAATAGAAGGTTTTGAGAATGGAAATAACACCTTTCCTATCAAGACTGATTTTTCTGGAAATCTTTAAATTTCTACAATTCTTAACATGAGTCTCCCATACCTGGGCAATACAAATTTATTTTAGAAGTTCTAAAATCTCCCAGAAAAAAAATTAGCCACCATGAGCCTCTGCATCCACACGCGTCACCTGCGCACGCGACATCAACCACACCCTCCTCCACGGTCCTTCCATCTCGGCATCTGGGACAGCGACCCAGCTTCTCACTGTCAAAATGCAACTCGGAGTCCGGACTGTCTCTCCCTTAGAGGATGAGGGCTGAATCATAGGAGTTTATCCCTAAGGTACTTAAGTATCTTGGCTCCTCTCAAATGTCCAGAATAAACATCTAAAGTAGAGGTGGATTGGTGATCCTAGACCGACTGTCTTTGCTTAGGCCTGCCCAATATTTTTAAAAGTTTGAGCCAACATTTCAACACTGGAAGAATTCAGATGAAAATCAGCTCTACCTACCTGGCTGGTCACACCCCTTGAGATGAGGCCTGAGCTCTGTCCAGCCCCTCTCACGCCCGCAGGGAGAGCCCTTGTCCCTGGGTGGCCTCTTTCAGTGCAGGGCTTCAGGGAGTGATCTGTGCTCACCAACCCCTCAGCACCCCTGACACTTGCCAAGCACTTTCACCTTCTGGCCTTTGCTCCTGCTTTCTCTTCAGCCTCAGCCACCCACTTTCCTTCTCAGCCCGGCAGAGTCTGCCTTCGAAACCAAGCAGAAGTGTCAAAAACTCTGCTGACACTGTAAACCCACGCCTCTTTAAAACTGGTCCAAGTGACCCTTCCCTGCAGCAGGGTGACAGGCTTCCACACTAGACTGTGGCACCAGGAAGGCAGACCCGTCTCACTCCCACTGGGGTGGGGTTTCTGGCACCAGAACTCTCAGCTCATGCTTGTGTGATGGCCTGTGACACGGATGGCCAGGCTCCAACGCCACCAAAGCTGTGGAGAGCAGACAAGTAGGGTCTCACGTAGATGTGATACAAAGCCAGCTCTGTGTCATGCTTATCCTAAAATTCATTTTTTAATATTTATTTTTAGGGACGTAGAAATGCAAAGGGCTCAAAATAGCGCAACATATTCATTAAAGCATTGTTTGTAATAGAAAAGACTAGGAAACAAATCTATATTTCCATAGGGGATATTACCGGTCAATCAGGGCTCAGTCATATAACAAATACTGTACATCGGTTAAAAGCTAGAACTCACGTGCCTCGTGTAAACATTGCTACAGCTACACTATTTAATCACTCAACAAATATTTTTGAGGAAATTGTGTTAAGAAAAATCCTCCATTTGTGTGTGTTTTTTAAAAATGAGGATATCTTCATTCATATGTTGATATAGGCACCTAAGTTGTTGGAAGGACCCCAAGAAACTATTATTCACAGCAGTCCCTCGGGTGAGGGACTTACAGTATTAGCACTGCTTATGCTTTTGTACTGCTGAATGTCCAGTATGTTCATAAGTTTTTCATTTAAAAGTTAACAATCCGTGCCTGGTGTGGCTCGGTTGCGTGTTGGCCGGTGCACCACACGGTTGATGATTCCATTCCTGGTCAGGGCACATGTCAGGGTTTCGGCCTCCAACCCCAGTAGGGGGCATGCAAGAGGCAGCCCGTCGATGTTCCTCTCACATCAATGTTTCTCTCTCTCTCTCTCTCCCCCCTCTAAAAATCAATAATATATTTTTAAAAAAGTTAAAACCAAATTATATATGCAAGCACACAGTATAGGGTGTAGAGGAAAACAACATTGTAGCAAGAAGAAAACTAGCACAGAATTAGTGTCATGATCAGGAAGATGACCTATTTGAAATGCAAGTACTCCCTATTCCATGATTAAGTATGAGCTATGTTTATAAGACATGGAATATTACCACATCCATTTTTTTAAGAGTCTCTACCTACCTGTTGGCTAGGTCAAAATGAATATTTTTCAGATCAAATTTACTCTGACTCAAATTCCCATAAGTGCTTTGCAAACCGGGCTTTAAATGTCATATAAAAATGCCAGCTTGGTAAAGACTGGGTAACCTTATTTTTCAAAGGTTGACTATGAAAAAATACACATCTTTGCATCCCCAAAGCAACTCATATAGTCCACACACACAGCAAGCCTCCAGTAACTCCCTCCCAATTAATCTTGTCCAGTTGCCAGAAGGCACCGTCTGTGCCATGCCTGTGTTCTTTTCAATGCCCAGGCCACTGCCAGGGCAGCACACAGGACGTGGTTCACAGCCGGAGGCATCAGGAAATAGAAGAGGCAGCTAGAGGAGACGCCATGGAGGCTCCACTGCAGGAAACAGTCCTGCAGAACGAGGGACTGTCCCACCCACTAATGCTAACAGTTTGTAAAGAGCCCAAACTAGCCACCCCATGGCTTGCCACAGGCCAGGTGAAGCTCTTGCTCGGTGCCTGAGGACGGCCTGAGCTCCTCCAGGGCTCCTTAACTCAGGGCAACCAACCCGCAGACGGTCTAAGCCTCTGCAGAACACAGACCTCGTTGCCACAGCAACGGGAAGGTCCGGGGAGCAGATATGAAAGGAAGCTAACTGGACTCCGGGCTCCAGTGGTCGGGCTGAATTATGCAGCTGCTGCCAGCGGCGAGGCAGGAATTACATTTTGAGTAATGACACATCCTATAGCAACAACACGAGGCCTTGAAAAAGCAGCTGCTGCGAGCTGCAGGGTGTACTTCCCGTTTTTTGTTAGCTGTCTGCAGTTAGATGTGGACAGAAGAGATGCTTCACCAACGCTACGCAGTCCAGGGAGATGATATCAAAGGGGATTTGCCGGCAGCTTGAAATTTTCAACGGCAGTCTTCACTCCTGCGGGCCTTTCACTTGGGTCATCTCTTATTTACGTCACGTTAGCCAAAACTAACAGGGCTCTTAATTGTGGGTTATGTTAGTTAGAAACAGAACCCCTGCTCTTGAGAAGGGTTTGATTTGGGAAGGTGCTTATAAAAGCAGCAGCAAACAAATGAAAATCCTTGCCTCCAGGAGGCTGAGGTTCTGGAATTTTTAACTGGGTAAAGAGAGATTTCTTAGGCTTTCCAGGCAGAAAAGAAAAACACACGGGGGAAAAATCCAGCCGGCCTTACAGCTCGTCATTGATTTTCAGGCCCACTCTTGGGTAATTATCCCTACCTTAAAAAAAATACCTGGGGCTCAATGGCGGTAGATCCCTTTTTCAACCAAGGAAGGCCAAAGGAAGCCCAACACTTAGTAGGCACTTAATTAGCATTTGCTGTTTTCCTCAATAGGTCCGGGAGCAGGGTTTTAACTTAATTTTAAGCCTTTGCCCCCAGGGCCGGTTCTGAACACGTGTTTGGTTCCTGGCTCACCACACAATTAACACAGCACCTTTTACAAACAGGACGTGCAACAAAAGAAACGTTCCCGCTGGTTCTTGGTAAGGAAAGTATCCAAATGAGGGGTTTAAACTATCAGTTTGTATTTGACATCAGGGCGGCTCCAGCCCCGCCGCGGTGTAGACGGGTCTGCCCGCGGGAATTCAAGTCCGGGGAACCCCGCCCCGCGACGGGGCCCTGCCTCCAAAGCCCCACCCTCGACTCTCTTCCTAAGCCAAGGGGCTTCAGAACTGTCGGACTGGGTTAATTTTCGGTCGGTTCTCTCTCCCTCGCCCTTACTGTCCGAGGGCAGGAGAGC